AAAATTTGAATGTATCAATTTTCCTTAAAAATAAAATTTCTAAAAAATAAAAATTTCTAAAAAACATTTTGAGGAAAAGTTGAAAGTATCAATTTTTCTTAAAAATAAAAATTTTCAAAAAGTATTTTGAGGAAAAGTTGAAAGTATCAATTTTCCTTGAAATTAAAATTTTAGAAAAAAGCATTTTGAGGAAAAGTTGAAAGTACCAATTTTTTTTAAAAATAAAATTATCAAGAAAACTATTTTTAAAGAAAAGTTGAAAGTATCAATTTTCCTTGTATAAAAGCAATGAGTTTTTTTTCTTATAAAACAAAAAAAAAGAAAAAGATTTATATCAAAAGTCGAATCATTATTCCTTTTATTTTATTTTATTTTATTTTATTTTTTTATTTTTTTAAAAAAATTTTTAATGTTAAATAATCCGATGATGGAGTGTATGCAAGTGAAACAATAGTTTTTTTGCATACTCTTTAGGTGAGAGAATTTTCTTAATTTTCTGCCAAAAGTATTGGAGTTAATTAAGAATAATTTTGAATAATTAATTACTTGATAAAATTTTTAAGGCTTATTGGATAACAAGAAATTAAGCTGGTACCATCTTTCGATGGGTGTTGTGATGCTGCTATAACCTTTCTCACTTATAACCGAACTCCTAAACACTGTTCTGGTTAATAGACCCGAACTTATTCTTTTAGGGACCTTTAGTTAAGCTTAGGTGTTCTTTGAAAGGAAAGATTCCTTAGGTGGCAAATTACACAAAAACAAAAAAGATTGGTGGTGACTCCTCAAGTCAATGTCTAACGATAGATCCTCAGATCTAAATGTTATGCAAAAATAATATTTAATTTTTTTGTTTTGATATAATATATTGTTTGACTATTGATTTGTTTATATTTTTAATTTTAAATTATTAAAAAAATTCATAATTTATTAAAAATTGTGTAATTAGTAATTTTACCACTAATTTAAAAGTATTAGTATTTTTTTAAAAATTTAATGCTTTCATAATAATAATGTTATTTTATAATGTTATAAGCTTATTATTTTTTGTTATAAGTATATCGTGTATATGTGTATATATATATATAAAATAAATTTTATTGAAAATAAAATACAATATAATATTAGTTGATTTCCTCAAAATAAAGTGTTAAGATGGTTGGACCACACTCGCATGAATAATGCTTTGAGGCATGCCCAGTGGCAAAGCCACGTTTAAACCAGAAGGGGCTATAGCTCTATAAAAGATTTTTAAAACCCTTGACTACATATTGATATAATGTATATAATTCATAAGTGTTTTTTTTTTTAATTTAAAAATGGTCTCCTTAAAAATATAAAAAGTTGTTCTTTGTGATTATAAATGTTTAGAATATTGAGATTTTAGGTTTAAATTTTCTTATATGTGAATTTGTTTCAATTTTATGTTGAATTTATCTAGTTATGTTCTAATTTGTTAATTAGTTTATTTTTTTGATTATTCAATTATACAATACTTAATTATAATTGCAATTTCTATTTGTAATTTAAAAAAAAAAAAACTTTTATGACAACAAAAATTCAATTCTCAAATTCTAATTAATTTATAAAAAGTATTAATATATAGAGTCTAGTTCTCATTAAAAATTTAAAAAATAAATATATTTGCTAAATATGACCCACATAAAAATGTCAAAACTATTTAAAGAAGTTTAGTCAAAAAATAAAAAAGTGAGATTAATAGAATAGAAAGAGATATAAATCTTATTCCTTAGAAGTTTAAACCCAACATTAAATCTTATTCCTTTAAGGGGCGTTTGGTTTGGGTGAATCAAAACATTTTCTCCTAGAATTTTACTATTGGGTTTTCAATGTTTGGTTTAAAGTAATCTAATTTCAGAGAAAACTAATAGATTCCTACCAGTACCTAAAGTCTTAGAATCAAAAACCCACCTCTCCTTGTAGTATTTTAGGATTCCAGAGGAAAAGTAGCGTTATTTCTAAATTTGATCAGACTAAAAAAATTATGAAATAATCATTACCATTTTGAAAAGTATGTAGGATTTTTTGCTAGTAAAAAATTTGGTTTATTATGACATTAGGCATAAAAAATGCGTTGAATAATCCCTTACAAAAAATTAAAAAAAGGTTATTAAAGGCGTTTTTAGCTAAAAACGTATTGAATAATCTTCAATTTTTATAAGAAAATTATTTAAGACATTTTTTTACCAAAAATGCCATTAATAACCCTATTTAATTTTTTATAAGAGATTATTAAAGGTATTTTTAGGGTAAAAATACTTTTAATAATCCCGTCATAAAAATTTGAGGGCAAAAAATGCCTTGAATCATCCTAAAAAAATGAGAGAGAATTATTGAAGGGTTTTTGGTAGAAAACGCCTTGAATAATCCCCTCTATAAAATTAAAGGAGATTATTCAAGGCCTTAAATGGTACCTTTCAATTTTGAAGGAGTTTATTTAAGGCAGTTTTAGACAAAAAATCTTAAATAATCTTATTTATTACTTATAAGATTTAAGAGATAAATTATAAAAATACTAAAGCAGCTCAATTAGTTAAAGCATACGGCTATTAACCATAAAGTCGTAGGTTTGATCATTCCCTTTAGCATTTTTTAGGTTTTTTAAGGGATTATTTAAGATATTTTTTGAAAAAAAAAAGGCTAGAGGGAGGGATTGAAGCTATGATCTTATGGTTAACGGTCATATGATGTTCCAAGGAATTAATTAAAGTATTAAACGCCTTAAATAATCTATTAGAAAACTTAAAAAATGCTAGAGGGATGGATCAAACTTATAACCTTATAGTTAATAGTCATAGAATTTTTCAAAAGATTATTCAAGACATTTTTTGATCAAAAATACCTTGAATAATCCACTAAAAAAATTAAAAGGAATTATTCAAGGCGTTTTTTTGCTAGAAACTCCTTGAATAACCCTATTTAATTTTTTGTAAGAAATTAATCAATGTGTTTTTTGATAAAAAAAATGTCTTGAATAATCATTTTATAAAAATTGAAAAGGATTATTCAAGGCGTTTTTGGTCAATAACGTCTTGAATAACCTCATTTAATTTTTTTGATGAAATTATTCAAGGTATTTTTTTGGTCAAAAACACCTTGAATAATCTCTCAAAAAAAAAATGAAAGAGGATTAATTAAGGCGTTTTTTTGAGTAAAAACGTCTTGAATAATCTCATTCAATTAAAAATTAAATTATTTAAGTTACCATTATATATGTCAAGAAGATTATAATAATTATTTAGGATTTAATATATATGAATTTTCTTCAACCAAACGAGTGGATTTGAATATAAGAGGTCCTAAAAATGAAAAAAAATCTCGGGTATCACATTTTTTCGAGAATCATACTTTTTTTCGAAACTTATGATTTTACGAACCAAATACTTCTTAAATGTTAAACACAACACCAAATCGCTATAGTTATTGCAAAAAAAAGGTGCATTTTTATTTTTTTAGAGAGCCAATTATAATGACGGTGCAAAGGGTAATTACAACTTCTTTCATAATAAGATCGCTATATCTTTTGTCTTTTGATTTTAAAATCATTAAATTATAAATTCTTTTTAATTTTAAATCTAAAATAATTATAAATATTTATTGAGAGAAAATCTTAATCTTGTTATCTTTATTGTGAGAAAATTTGTTAAAATTTTTTAATCTAATGATATTTTTTTTATAAAAGATTATCGTGCATAATTTTAAATAAAATTATTTGAGTTTCTTTTATTTTAAATAGTTATATATATATTTTTTAATTCAATACTTAAAATTTCTTGTACCTTATTTATGTTTAATTATGGAATGTTGTATTTTTTTATAAAAAAAATTTATAATTTTTGATAAAATAATAATATATTATATGCTAGATGAAAATTTTAAAATTACAATTATTATTTAATTTGGTCCCCCTAACTAAAAGTCTTGGTCCACCACTGAGCATGCCAGCTGCTCTAAAAGCAGCAAAGTGATGTTATGTGCTGCTTTAACTCTTGTACCATTCACACACACATTGAGTTGATATAATCAGATAGGAATTCCTGAGGGAAAATTATGATTTGCGCCAGAGAGTTCTGCTTGATATTGTATTTCAGATTTGCTTAAATAATTAAACTAATCAAATCAATATTGATGCAATAAGCCTGGGACTAAATTAAGCAAAATGAATTGAAATGAAACAAAAGATGGCTGATGGATCGAAGATATGAACTTGCTTTGCTTGAACTTGAACACTTGGTAACAAAATCATAGATAGTTTACCAGAATTAATTTTGACAAAATACTTGAAAAGGAAGAAGCTGTTAGAATGCATAATTTGTTTTTTTTGTAAATATTTTCGGTTACAATGGTTTTTTACACAATTTATTATTATTATTATTATAAAAATATAAAATTTTTTATAATTAAGATTGTAATTGAATTTTAATTATTGAAATTAAAATTTTAATATTTTATTAATAAATTATACGATTGATAGTGAGAAAATATTTTTCATGCTCCCGATAAATAGCTCAGTGGAGTTATTACACATAAATTAAGATTTCGAAATTGCCAATGACATAATTAAACTTAAAAATTTGGGAAGCAGGAACAAGCGAATGTTATTAGCTGATCATTGCAATGTATAGAACTTCAAGCGTCGTAATTGTTCATTACATTAGTCTGCCTTATCACCGGCCGCCTAATAAATGGGATTCATATCGTTTAACCTTAATCTGATGATTAGATTAGATGATATTTTTAATGCAAAGTCAATGCAAACAAATTATTTAAATGTTCATACAATATTTATAAGTTGTTAAAAGATAACCAAAAAAAAAAAGAGAAATGACTAACAAAAACAACCAAGTTTAACTCTTTTTTTTTTTTTTTTTTGGTGAAAACCGAATTTGACTTGAATCAATAAACTTGTGCTATCTCGTACCAAAAAAAAAAGGTTTTCAGTTACAAATCAAAAAGAGAGAATACTCAACTTTATCGTACTTGCATGCATGCATGCAGGCATGCATTTGGCATTCGAACAAAGTTCAAAGGTTTTCTTTATAAAAGAAAGCAAAAGAGTAAAATTTTATCCAGCATGGAAACAATTTACACCATGATATTGGATAAACTCGTATCGCGGAACAATTCTAGTAAGCATCCACATGACATCTTACATCGTATATGTCCTACCTATGACCTTTTCCATTCATATTCAAAAGGACTTCAGAACAGAAAATCAAGCACATTAGAAGCCATCTTCTTATCTTTAAGATCTGAAGAAAATTATGTTATAATAAGTAACATTGCCTCCTTCACTCCTATCCCTATTAGCTCATAGTATACTATAATCACACTGACCTTACCAATAAACGGCATCAACTTCAAAGGATTAGCTACATTCCTTTGCAGCATGCAACAACATTATCACATTGTTTTTCGACATGTGGCATAAATTTATAATGAAATGCTAAAGGATGTGAGGAATGGCATTGTTCGTTCAGAATTGAAGATGCAAGTTCAGGATTTCTAATGACAGCTAATTCTGGCTTGAGGAATCACATTCGTATACGCTTCAAATCATTCCCAGGGACATTCACATCACTGTCATTCCCCTTTTCTGAATGAACAGCTTGTCCCTGTATGCATATCAACATAAGCCGTCAATGACCTTAACATGAAATCAAAGAAGAAAAACATAGGGGAATCTCAAAAGTTCCATGATCAAAGTACTTTCATTAGAAATAAATTATTTTGTGGCTTTCAACACTATTGACACGTTCGAAAATTGCAGATTGTGACACCTTAAGTATGAAGGCCATTTCTTACAGTTAAATTTTTAGAGTGATGATCACCTAAAAATTTCTTTAGCAGAGTGTCAATGCCAGAGGTCTAAGACATTTTCCTAGAAATATTTGCCTTGCACATTGTAAGCTAGACCTTCAAAATATGCAGTCAGTGTTGTTCATACTAAGAAACATTAACACATAAGATTGCCTAAACATTCAATCATGTAAATCACATGTTTGTAGCTGGAAATGTGTGTTTAAAGTTTCCAGAATTCTGCTATCCTGTCATCAGAACTTACACTTTCGTTAGGGACAACTGCATATCGCTCTGTTGGAGAAACCCAGGATTTACCTGCCAATAGTACATTTATATATTCAAAAATATCTAAACTGTTAAGAGAACAGATAGGAAAGCAGTAAGGACGTCTAACATAACCATGCAACACCTGACAATGGATCAAGCTTTGAAGATTCTATCTGTTGCCTACTGGAACCATCCATACTCAAAGCGTCTATAATCTTTGGAACATTCCTGAAAATAAGAATCCAGAATGTCACGACTTTGGTCCATGACCAAAATAAAGGGCCTTTGTTCTCAATTTCACAAAACATATTGGCAGAAAGAATAAATGAAAAGTACTACATATTTGAAAACTGACCAAGAATAAAATATAACAAGAAATATGGCAGGTTTGAGATTAGAACTTTCGGACAGGCCCAAGAAAAGTTAGCTATCAGCTCTGTTTACTACAATCACTTTCTATGGTATGATAAAACCTATCTCCTATTGTAGGAAGTTCATTTATCTCATTCTCAAATTCATGATCACAAATCTCTGAGTCCTCAACCCTAGAAAAATAGAAAGGAACTTTCCGGCCACATAATATCAAGGAATTACCTCCTTTTCATGCTTTGTTGTATTCCCTCCATATTTTCTGCAGCTTCTAAATATTTGTGTTAATTTCTATGCTTTACCTATATTTTATTCCTATAAATTATTATTAGAATTGATCATTCCTGATCAATGAGAGGAAGAAAGACTTTCCCTGGTTATCACTAGTCTAGATGAAAATGCTATTACCAGTCCATTGATTCTCCATGCCCAAGCTGTCCGTTTGTACCCCTTCCCCAGGAGAAAACGTTTTGCACTTCAGTAATAGCAAGTGTGTGCCTCCAGCCACATGAAACCTGCACTACTTTCTGCCAAGTAACATACAAACATATGAGAAGAGAAGAAGGAATTCAGACTTAGAAAATATGACGATTATAGGAGGAGAAAATCAGCTCTCAATGAGAAATTAAAAGAATAAAATTCCTACAGAACTGAATATCAATCTCATGGGCTATCTTAACCAATATTCGGAAGCTATAGTAACAAGAATGTGCCTGCCCATGAGGAAATTTAACTTGCACTGGAGTGCAATGATCAGCATTGTCACCATTCCCAATCTGTCCAAACTGTAAATAAGGTAGAAAATCTAATCAACAAAAGTTGGACAAATGAATTAGATATTGCAGATGAAAATGGACAAGCAAACTAACTAAAATAAAAGTTTAAAAGTGAAAATTTAATGACTGCAACTTTAACAAGCATCCATAACTATGAAGGCAATTAAACAACTAATAAAATGTTAAAGACACATGCACCAGTAAATTATTTTTATACAGACAAGTCCATCAGCTTGTTTGCATGCATGTCAACAGAAACTGACAGATACTGAGAGGGAGTCATATATCAACTAAAATGCGTATAAAAGGGCTCTGGGTTCATGCCTAATGTTCTAGTAAACAAACCAATTAATATTGGCAACATAGTGATACGATATATTTCAAAGATATAAACCAAGGAAATTTTTTTTTTTTTTTCAACCTTGTTCCATCCCCAGCCATAGAGTTTTCCACCAGATGTGACAGCCATTGTATGTCTCCATCCACCTGATATCTAATAAGATTCAAACCAAAGTGAAACAAGCAATTTTAAAAATAATTTTTAAGTCAAAATAACTTTTACAGCAACAGAAAGTATCCTGAAAGGTATGAGGCATAATATTATGAAAAATACGACTAATGAGGCATTAACACTTGACAGGCCTAAAAAATGGTAAGATATTTCCCACAGCAAGTTCCACAAAAAGGGGGGAAATCGTACACATTTCAATATGATATTACCAGAATAATTCTACCTGCTACAGGTACATCATTTTACCTCTAGGTCTCAAAGGTTAGAACAAAATAACATTGAACTGACAGCTGAAACAACACGTAATGCCACAGTGAAAGAAAGTCATCCCTTGCAAATAAAAAATAAAATTTTAAAAAAAAAAGAGAAACGTCCCATGTTGTAAACTCCTAATTACCATGATGCAAACGAGGGCAAATAGATCACAAAGATCAAACGGAAAATTACAGAGAGAAGAAAGAAGAATTAGGGAAGAGAAACAGATATAACCAAGAGAGAGGGAAAATCTCATTAATGAATATTTATAAATCTCAAGAATTTTTAATCCGAATCCAGAAGAATAACCCATCAAATTATTTATAGATACAAGCCATAAAAACCTTAAAATAAATTCAAATTCCAAATATATCCCAACTAAAACCTAAAGGGAAGTTCTCCATCAGACAGCTCCCCAAGTGAAAGTCAGTAAAGCCATATAAAGTATAACCTGTTAACTCAGACTTCAAGGGATGATGTCTCCCCCACCCTAGCTAAAGACATGATTACGAGGTCATTGAACTTACGCATACATGTTAAGACGTGAAAAACCACGCTTTTATGTTTTAACTTGTAGGGCACACGTGAGAATTTAAAACCATCTTTATTGCTAAAACTAAGGTTGTTATAAAACTGTCATTTTCCCTCACTAAGGGGAGATAAAAGATCACCTGCTTAATGAAACTCTCGGCTAAAGCTTCCACTTTATGAGGAATGAGATGATCCTCAAAGTCCCCATGTCCTAGTTGGCCATACTTGCTCCATCCATAAGTGTATAATCTGCCAGTAACAGAGACTGATATGGTATGCCGCCAACCACAAGCAACCATATTCATCTTCTCTCCCTGAAACTGAAAATTTTTATTACTTCTTCTTTAACAAAAAATATGGAAATAAAGGAAAATTACAGAATGAGTATAAAATAAGACAAGATGTAGAAAGGGAAACAAGACTTTAAGACTCACATCCAATATTCTTTTCTAGCAGTAGAATACCTTCGTAAAAAGAAGACTTTAGTTGAAGATTAAAAATAAATGGAAAAAATGCCCTTTTAAATACCAAGGATAAAAATAAAAGCACCTGTTATAAACTTTTCCTCAATCATGTCAACTTATATATAGATGGCATTCAAACAAAAAACCAGATGTTTTGAGTCACCTGTCTTGCATATTAATTGAGGATGGTCAATCATCCTAATAGAATCGCATCAATGGTACTTAAGGAAACAGGCCAAATAAATATTACCTGCATGTTGACTTACATTGAGAGTAGAAACCTTCTCAGGAACAAAGCGATCATTTCTGTCACCTAAGCCCAAGTTTCCATATCGTCCCCAGCCCCATCCATAGAGGGCACCCTCTTCTGAAACAGCCACAGTATGCTCAGCACCAGCAGCAACCATTTTGATAGAAATACCCTATAACAGACATGAAATTCAAGGTGATAACCACTTCAACAAAGTGCATATGCAAATTTTAGCTTGATCAAAGTATCCATGCAGAATTCTTCGGTAGTCATAGGAAAAGAAATAAAACAGAAATGATTTTAAAAATTTTAAACTAATGGTCAGCAACATTACAGGATTCCAAAGTTAAGAAACATGCAAATACTACTGTACAGAGAGTTATCAGAACTCTGAATTTTAAGTCCCAAAACAGGTCTTCTTCATATAATTGTATATTTTTCATCAGATGCTCAAAGGAAACCCAGTGACAAATCCTCTTTCATCTCTTGCTGGTGTAACATGGTAAATGGGGCATTCAATTTGATTAAACAAGAAATCCCACATTGTTGACATTGAATGATTGAAAGTCTTATACAATGCAACTTTGAGTGTGTTGTGATTCATAACAAGCATATAAATACACATTTTCTGAAGGTTAGCAAAACTAAGGAACCTGGATGCACAATCAGATACTCATTTCTGTTAATGCTAAAGTACAAACAAACAGAATAATGGAGCATCACATGAACATTTATCATAAGATAACTACATATCATACAGACCTGAAAGGCTTGAATCTTTCGAGGCAAAAGAGAGTCTTCAGTGGTTCCAAGACCAAGTTGACCATTTTGATTTCTTCCCCAACTTCAATTAAATTCAAAAAACACAACATTAAAAAAGGTAAAAGAAAAATCAGTAATAAGAGCTATCCCAAGGATAAATTGAAAGAAGAAATAACCACAAAAGGTTGGGACAAACTTCTTCAGAAGAGAGTTAAACTATAATCCTAGACAGAGTGACCACTGATTCTGCTGTTACACAGAACTCTGACTAGCTTTTGGGAAAATGAGACAGAATCAGCTGTCTTAAGATGATTAATTATCATGAATTAGGATGCAGAAGAGATAGGATAGGCACTATTGCATTAGAAACGACAGTGCCGGAAACTTGCAACATAAATCTCACTATAAGTCTTATCTGAAAGCCAGAAAGATTTTATCAGCAAGTTCAAATTAAACCATAATATTATGAGTAGTCAACCAGCTTCCTCATCATTGGCTACTATGGCATAACTGATACAATATTTTAGGTTTCTGGGTAAATCTGCTCAATCAAAACGTAAGGAATCTGAAAGAGGAAACCAAATTTAATCATATGAATGATAGCTCCACTAGTTCCACAAGCAATAGTGATGGCCTTCAGGCACAAACTCATGCCCCTGTCAAAAGGGGAAGAGATGGACCAAACTACCAAAAGAACTTATCTTGTGCTGATCTTACAATAAGGTCATAGATAGAGTCAAATGGCACAATAGTAGCCACGTGCCACACAAATTAAGTAAGAAAAGGCTTAAGTTCATTATTGTTTACACCTCCTCATATTGAAACAAATTCTTTGGACTGACAAAGTTTTCTCATTAATTTAAAAGTCTCATATGCAAATGAGAAGATAAAAGGAAAAAGAAACATTGAATCTAGTATAATATAAATTGAAATATACATTAGCTACATCTCTCAATTCTTTTCACAGTCAAGCTTTCTTCTATGGCCTCTCCTGCACGGGAATGAATGCTTGAGGTAATAGTATTCTAAAATGAAAGAAGTTTACATTTAAGTTCATGCATTCCGGCCCTCTCATGAATCATCCCTAATTGCATACAGAGGTCCAATTTTCTCTAATTTCTTAATGACTACAGAATTACCTCTTGAAGTGCCTTTGCTTATAATCACAGCCTATTTCATGAAGATCACAAGAATCAGTACATATTACCAATCTCTGGTTGTGCATTATAAACTTGATACCCAAGCTTGGATCTTTCAGTTCAAACTACTATTTGTAGCTTCTCTATGCAATGCAAGTTAAATTCTAGGCACCAATAAACATAGTTAACAAAAAATTGGTTAACTATCAAAATCTACTCAATTTTTGAACCCTAAAATCAAGAAATTGAAATGAAACATAAACGTCTATATTAATCAGATTGTAAAAAAAAGTAAAAAGCAAGAGAAGAAAGATCTACAAGCCATACAAACCTCTGCACCTCGCCTTCCATTGTCACAGCTAAACAATGGCTGTCTCCACAAGCAATTTGTTTTATCCTCAAACCATGTAATGCTTTTATTGGTTGAGGAGTGAATAAGTCACTAGAATTTCCATGACCAAGTCTTCCAAAGTCACCCCTGGTATTAATAACAGTAAAAAATGGTCATACATTTTAGTAAGAATAGAAAATAAATAAACTGGAGAACAGGAAAACATTAAACTGACCAATAAGTGATGTCAACTGAAATTTTTAAAAATTGCTAAATTATGAGAATATGATATTAACAACTATAGAAATCTAATCTTTATTATTATTTGATTAATTGACTTTATCTATTTTAGTTAAGTCTCTTATATTTTAGGATAAGGAGTGATTTGGGTAATTACACCAAACCCATTAGATATTTTCCTATTATGTGTAAGAGTAAATTACTCATTTGATTAGCTGTTTTAATGCATGAAAATCTTGGGTTTTAAGGCTAAGAATATTCAATCTTTAGCCTATATATTTTCATGCGATTCTAGTATTGTAATAAGAAAAATATAAAAAAATAAAATAGTTTTATTCTAGAGATTTCTTCATGGTATCAAACCATGATTTGAACCTTTGAAAATTTTTACTTGGAGTCCAGTATAGCCAGCGAAAGGGAGAGCCTGGCGTCAAAGGTTTCCTCTAACCCCAGAGCTAGCATTATTGGAACAAGTTCTTTAGCACAAAAAAGTAATTTTCTAAGTGCCTTGAGTGTAAAACTAGAGAAATCAAATTCATTGATTGTGGATTCAGGAGTTTCAGACCATATGACTGGGAATGCATCTGTATTCAATATATACAAACCATGCCATGAAAACTTCACAGTTCGAATTATTGATGGGACACTTTCAAAAGTGATCGGTACAGGTTCTGTTATTATTTCTAAAGAGATAACACTTAATTCTTTTTTGTTTGTCCCAAATCTAAGTTGCAATCTACTGTCTATAAGCAAACTTACAAGAGACCTTAAGTGTGTTACTAAATTTCTTCTAAATATGGTTGAATTTCAGGATTTGGACTCAAAGAAGATGATTGGAAATGCTAAAATGTGTGTAGGACTCTATATCCTAACAGCTAATGATTTTGAAAGACAATATCAAAAAACCTCTTGCGTGGCTTCATCCTTTAATAATAATAAAGAGAGTACTATCATGTTGAGGCACTATCAATTAGGTCATCCAAACTTTTTGTACCTCAAAAGGTTGATTCCCTCATTATTCAATAAAAATCTTAGCAACTTTCAATGTGAAGTCTGCCAACTATCCAAACATACCCTTACCACATATCCTAATCAATCTTACAAATCATCTCATCCTTTTTCAATGATACATAGGAACATTTAGAGTCCTTTCGGAGTAAATAACATTATTGGTTTTAAATGGTTTGTCACATTTATTGATGATCACACTAGAGTTACTTGGATATTCCTTATGAAGGAAAATCAGAAGTGGGTCAGCTATTTCAAAACTTCAACAATATAATTCAAACTCAATTCAAAACCAAAATCGAAGTGTTGAGAACCGACAATGGGAGAGAATACTACAATTCAATCCTTAGATAGTATCTAATGAAGCATGGTATAATTCATCAAAGCTCAAGTGTTGATATTCTTCAGTAGAATGGTGTTGTCGAAAGAAAGAATCGACATTCGTTGGAAGTTGCAAGATCCCTCATGATGGCTACTCATGTACCTAAGTATTTTGGGAATGAGGCTATTCTTACCACTACATATCTTATAAACAGAATGCCTTCTCGAGTCTTGAAATTTCAAACCCTTGCCAATCTTTTATGATTTCATATCTTCACCTTCAAATCATCTTGTCTATTCCCATTAAAGTGTTTGGATGCATTGCATTTGCTCTTACCAGCCAACAAAACCAAAGCAAATTAGATCCCAAATCCGTCAAATGCATATTTGTCGAATACTCCCCGAATAAGAAATGATACAAGTGTTACTCACTAGTAACAAAGAAATTCTACCTTTCCATGAATGTTACATTTTTTGAAAATCAACCTTACTTTTCCCAAAACTACCATTCAAAGGGAAAAATCAATCACATGGGAATATCAGCTTTGAGAAGATCCTATTACGTAACCACCAAACACTTCTCCAACTCCCTTTCAAGTCCAAAACATCCAAACAAATCCTCCAACTCCCTTTCAAGTCCAAAACATCCAACCAAATCCTCCAAGCTCGAAATCCACACAAGGGAAAACAAACAAAGAATTGATAGTTTATTCAAGAAGACATAAAACTCAAAAGGATCTAGGAGAATGTACACCTTCAAAGCAAAACCAAGAATCTAAACCGATTCCAGAAATACTTGAAACCAATATAGGTAACACTCTTACTGAATTTGATTTAATTAAATCTTTTGATGATCTTGATCAACTGATTACTTTAAAGAAAGGTGTGAGATCATGTACTCAACAGCCAATCTACAATGTGGTTTCTTATGAAGGTTTATCACCCAATTATCGGGCTTTTGTTACCACACTAAACAATATGTAAATTCCCAATAATATTCATGAAGCATTCATGCAACCAAAAAATAAGATGGCTATTTTGGAAGAAATTAGTGCCCTAGAAAAGAACAAAACATGGGAGATTTCAAAATTACCCAAAGGGAAAAACCCAATTGGGTGCACATGGATTTTTACTGTCAAGCACAATGTAGAATGAAGTATTAACAGATTCAAAGCTCGCATTGCTGTAAAAAGATTTACTTCATCTTATGGTGTTCACTATAAGGAGACATTTGCTCCAGTTGCTAAACTTAATTCAATCTAGGTATTACTATCATTAGCAACAAATCTAGATTGGTCATTCCACCAACTAGATGTCAAAAATGCATTTCTTAATGGCAACCTAGAAGAAGAAGTTTACATGAAAATCCCTCCAAGATTCAAAAACCAGGACAATTCTGGGAAGGTATGTAAGCTTCAAAAGTCTTTATATGGTTTCAAACAATCCCCACATGCATGGTTTGATAGACTAACAAAAGTGGTAACGAAGTATGGTTTTTCACAATGCCAGACCGATCATACCATGTTTGTCAAACATTCACCTGAAGGAAAAATAACCATTCTTATTGTCTATGTGGATGACATTATTCTTATTAGAGATTATGTGGAAGAAATTAGCAACCAAAAGAACCTCCCAGCCAAAGAATATGAAATCAAAGATTTGGGACACCTTAAATATTTTCTTGGCATAGAGGTAGCTCACTCAAGGAATAGCATCTCTGTTTTACAGCGTAAGTATGTCCTAGACTTACTAAAGGAAACTGGAATGCTTGGATGCAAACCTACTGACACCTCTATGGACAAAATGAATAAAGTAGGAATGGAAGAAGGAAGTCCACCAACAAATAAGGGTAGATATCAAAGACTTGTAGGGAAACTCATCTACCTTTCTCATATAAGACTAGATATCGGTTTTTCGGTTAGCATGGTAAGCAGATTCATGAACAACCCAACTAAGGAACACTTGAGGATTGTGTATCAAATCTTACAATACCTAAAAAAGAGTCTTGGCAAAAGGTTATTTTTTAAGAAAATATCACGTCGAAATGTTGAAATTTACACTAATGCTAATTGGGCTGGATCTATTACTAACTAAAGAGCAACTACTGGTTATTGTACCTATGTGTGGGGAAATTTGGTTACTTGGCGAAGCAAGAAGCAATTTGTAGTGGCTAGAAGTAACGCGAAAGCTGAGTTTAAAGCTATGTCTCTTGGCATGGAATTTGGCTAAAAAGGTTGCTAGGGGAGTTAAAGATTTCTACAGAGGAATCCATGAAGATATTTTGCGATAACAAAGCTGCCATAAGTATAGCAAAGAATCATGTTTATCATGATAGGACTAAACATGTAGAGATTGATCGTCACTTTATCAAAAAGAAGATAGAGAAAGGAATTGTTAGATTAGTTTATGCTCTCACATGCCTCTAAATTGCAGAAATATTCATTAAAGCTCTCTCTTAAAACAACTTCGAGAATCTGAAGTCCAAGCTGGGCATGTTGACATCTACCACCTAGCTTGAGGGGGAGTGTGGAAATCTAATATTCATTATTACTTGATTATTTGACTTTATCTATTTTAGTTAAGTGTCTTATTTTTTAGAATTAGGAGTGATTTGGGTAATTATACCAAATCTATTAGATATTTTTCTATTATGTGTAGAGAGTAAATTACTCATTTGATTAGTTGTTTAATGCATGAAAATCTTGGGTTTTAAGGCTAAGAATATTCAGTCTTTAGCGTATATATTTTCATGCAATTTTAGTATTGTAATAAGAAAAATATAGAAAAACAAAATAGTTTTATTTTAGAGATTTCTTCAATAACATTACCTTTAAGATTACAGTACGCTATTTCAAAATCCTACATGAACAATGTTTATTCCTTAGTAATACAATGCTTGCATGAATGAAGGAAAGGATAAAATTTAATGAAACAGTAGATAGCCAATCACTAAGTTTCATGAAGACATCACAACAGAAGAAAATTTCTTCTTTGGCACGAATCCTTCTAAAGTGTGAACCTTCTCTCAAAAAGGTACATCGTAGACCATTTAACATTTATAGCATCTTTTAAATTAAGACCTTCTGCAACAGGAGGAGTTGACTCCCAATTCACAATGCCAATACTGCCATCCAAATCCTTCCCACATAAGCTCTAAGGTTGAATTTTTCTTATTTCCATTCAATAGTGTTTGAATCCTTTTACTTTCATTGTAAATGACACAAAGCACCACAGTTTTTATGTTTAGGTAGTGTTAAGAATGTTTTGACTTCATCTTGTAAGATCTCTGTACTGTGGGAAAACATTTAGTTACAAGTGATTGTATTTTGTAATCTGCTGATTGTAATCTGTATATATCTGTATCTCCCTAAAATTGAGAATTTGTATCTCTAGAATTAAGGACAGAATATCAGGATAGACAATTCCTTGATTATAGGGATTAGATTTAGGAATATTTAGTTTCCTAGTTTACTCTCTAGCTAGCTGTATTTAAATCTATGGTGTTTGTATGATTCAAGACACAAGTTTTCAATATACTCTCATTTTTCCACATGGTATCAGAGCTTTAGACTCTTCTTGGGAAGAAAATTTCTCAGCCTTCATTGCTGAATTTTTTTTTAGGCCTTCATAGCCAAATTTTTAAGTCTGTCATACTTTTATTTTGTTCCTTTTTTTTTTTTTGGCCTTCATTGCCTATACTTGTTTCAGTCCTGAGAAAGGTAATCATGTCAGAAATAGCAGAATCTGTAGCTACTACTCGATTTGGAGAAGTAACAACTGGTCAAACCACAGCGGAATTACAGAATATCCAAGCTACATACAGGTTGAATGGAAAGAACTACTTGAAGTGGTCTCAGTTGGTTCAAACCTTTCTAAAAGGGAAAGGAAAATTGAGCCATCTTCTTGGCACTGGTCCTGAGAAAGGAGATCCAAAATTTGAGGCTTGGGATGAAGAGGATTCTATGGTTATGTCATGGCTGTGGAATTCTATGATGCCAGATATTAGTGACACTTGTATGTTTTTGTCCACGGCCAAAGACATTTGGGAATCAATTCGTCAAACCTATTCCAAAGTTAAAGATGCTGCTCAAGTCTATGAGGTCAAGATCAAGACTGCAGCTCTCAAACAAGGGAATAAGTCAGTCACAGAGTATGCTATTCTTCTTAAAAATCTTTGGCAAGAGATGGATCACTACCGGTGCATAGAAATGAAGTGCAGTGAAGATGCAACAACTTTGAAGAAATTTATTGCAAAAGATCGAGTCTATGATTTTCTTGCTGGACTGAATGTTGAGTTTGATCAAGTCAGAGTCCAAATTCTGGGAAAACAAGATCTGCCTTCTTTAAATGAAGTGATATCCATGGTTAGAGCAGAAGAGAGCAGAAAGGAGTGATGCTTGACAGTGTGCATGTAGAAGGATCTGCTATGGTCTCTAATGGTGGGAAGAACCAAAGCTTAGAACAATTACCAGTCAGTGAGAATGGGAAAGGTGATTCGGCTAAAACTTCAAATCGCGACAATCTTTGGTGCACCTATTGCAAGAAGCCAAGACACACTAGAGATCGTTGCTGGAAATTACATGGAAAACCTTCAACTTCAAGCAAAGAATGGGGTTATAAAGGAGGACAGCCAAGAAATCAAGGACAAGCTCACATGACTGCAATGGAGTTAAACCAGGAGAAGTCTCAGGAACAAGGAGAGTTGGATAAAAAAGAGATTGAGAAACTGAGAAGCCTATTGGGAACTCTTGAAAAGGCTACTGGTGTATGCTCCTTGGCACACTCAGGTAAGGACTCTGGTGCAGGTAAAGTCTCTAATTCTCATGGATTAAATGTCTCAGATAAGTCCATTAAGAGTTCTTGGGTCATTGACTCAGGAGCCACAGACCACATGACACATTCTTCACAAAAGTTTAGTACATATACCCTATGTCCTGGTACTAAGAAAATTACTGTTGCAGATGGTTCACTTACTACAGTGGCAGGATTAGGAGATGTTCAAATTAATCCCTCATTTCATCTTAAAAATGTTCTTCATGTCCTAGATTGTCTACTAATCTGATATCTATACAAAGACTTACTAGAGACATGAACTGCAATGTGACTTTTATCCCTCTTACTGTGAATTTCAGGACCAGGGTTCGGGGAAGAGGATTGGACTTGCTAAGGAGAAGGATGGACTATACTATCTTGAGACATCCAACAACATAAGTAATATCAAGAATAGTTTACCTTTGTCATTTCTTTCTGAACAATCTTCCAATAAAGACAAAATCTGGCTTTATCATTTTCGTTTTGGACACCCTTTTTTTGGAACTTTGAAAAACATGTTTCCTTCCTTGTTCAAAGGATTAAACGTTGAAGAGTTTCATTGTGATGTTTGTGAACTTGCAAAACACAGACGTGTATCTTTTCCAATTTGCAACAAAAGAAGTTCTACTCCATTTTACTTGATTCATAGTGACATCTGGGGTCCCTCTACAGTTCCTAATATTTCTGGGGCAAGATGGTTTGTGTCATTCATAGATGATTGTACCAGGGTTTCTTGGGTTTTTTTACTTAAATCCAAATCAGATGTGAATAGTGTGTTTTTTAGCTTCCAAAACATGATCCAAAATCAATTTGGAGTGAGAATCAAAAGATTTAGGTCTGATAATGCAAGAGACTATTTCAACCAGAGTCTATCCACCTATTTCCAAAATGAGGGGATTATCCATGAGTCATCTTGTGTTAATACTCCACAGCAAAATGGAGTGGCAGAGAGAAAAAATAGTCACTTACTAGCCACAACCCGAGCCTTCCTTTTTCAAGCAAATGTGCCCAAATCTTACTGGGGGGAAGCTGTTCTCACTGCTACACACATTATAAATAGGTTACCTTCAAGGGTTTTGGGATTTAAAACTCCTATGGAACTACTCTCACAATTCTATCCCAACCTTAATACCACAAACAACCTCACACCTAGGATATTCGGTTGTACATCATTTGTTCATGTTCACAGTCATAATAGGGGAAAGTTGGATCCGAGAGCAATTAGGTGTATCTTTGTGGGGTATTCATCAACTCAAAAAGGGTATAAGTGCTATCATCCTCCTACCAAAAAGTTCTATGTGTCTGCAGATGTCACTTTTGAATAAAGTAAACCATTTTTTACTCAACCTTATCTTCAGGGGGAGACATCATTTATAGAAGATAAGGATAAAGACTTTTTTTTGCTTGACTTGTCATCCTCCTCCAAAACAGTTTCACCCATTAATTCTTTTGAGCCTAAACCCATTTCTTCAGAGTCCAAGTCAAACACTGATTCTAAATTTGAACCAATTCCAAACACAGAAGTTGTGACTAAAGATAATACTATTCTTGATTCTGTGAAAGAATTACAGGTGTACTCAAGAAAGAAAGTTTCCAGCTCCTGAACCGGTGCAAATCCAAGAACCTGATCCTAACTCTGGAAATGAGGTAATTACAGTCTCTGATTCTATTTCTTAAAATGAGCATGACTCTCCTAAAATTAGTGATTATGATCTACCTATTGCCATTAGGAAAGGAACTAGAGAATGTACTAAACATCTATTATACCCAATCTCTAATTTTGTGTCATTTGAAAAGCTTTCACCATCCCATAAAAATTTTCTTGTGAGCCTAGACACTATTTCTATTCCAACTACATTATCTGAGGCATTATCCAATGAGAAATGGAGGCAGGCGATGAAAACAGAAATGGAGGCCTTAGAGAAAAATAACACATGGGAACTGGTAGAGTTGCCTGCAGGAAAACATCCAGTTGGGTGTAAATGGGTTTTCACTGTAAAGTATAAGGCAGATGGTACTATTGAAAGATACAAGGCCAGGCTAGTGGCTAAGGGCTACACTCAAACTTATGGAGTGGATTATCAGAAAACTTTTGCTCCAGTTGCCAAGACGAATACAGTTAGGATTTTATTATCCTTGGCGGCAAATTACAATTGGCAGCTTCAACAATTTGATGTAAAGAATGCCTTTTTACATGGTGATTTGGAAGAAGAAATATATATGAAAGTTCTACCGGGATTTGGGGGTCATCTAGAAGCACAAAAAGTATGCAAGCTGAAAAAGGCTTTATATGGCCTTAAACAGTCTCCTAGGGCCTGGTTCGGGAGATTTGCCAAAGTGATGCTAGGAATGAAATATAAACAGAGTCAAGGGGATCACACACTGTTTATCAAGCACTCAGATTCGGGTAAGGTCACAATTCTATTAGTATATGTTGATGATATAATTGTAACTGGAGATGATGAAAAAGAAAGAGAGTCTCTAAAACAGTGTTTGGCCAGAGAATTCGAGATAAAAGAGTTAGGGAGATTGAAGTACTTCCTAGGAATTGAAGTAGCCCACTCACGTCATGGTATTTTTATCTCACAACAGAAATATGTGATGGATCTTTTGAAGGAAACTGGGAAGCTCGCATGTAAACCTGCAAGTACCCCTATAGATCCTAATCATAAGCTTGGAGAAGCTAATGAAGATACTGCTGTAGATAGAGAGATGTACCAGAGATTAGTTGGAAGACTTATTTATCTCTCACATACTAGACCTGACATAGCATATGCTGTGAGTGTGATAAGTCAATTTATGCATAACCCTAAAAAAGTACACCTACAGGCTGTCTACCGTGTACTACACTATTTGAAGGCTAATCCTGGGAGAGGTATCTTGTTTAAAAGAAATTTAGGGTTGGTACTAGAGGCATATACAGATGCTGATTATGCAGGTTCAGTAACTGACAGAAGATCTACCTCAGGCTACTGCACTTTTCTAGGTGGTAATCTTGTAACTTGGAGGAGTAAAAAACAAAATGTGGTGGCAAGATCAAGTGCTGAAGCAGAGTTTAGGGCAATGGCTCAAGGAATTTGTGAATTACTATGGTTAAAGATTATTCTAGAAGACTTGAAGATCAAATGGGATGGACCAATGAGACTTTACTGTGATAATAAATCTGCAATAAGCATTGCACACAATCCAGTGCAACATGACAGAACAAAACACATTGAAGTAGACCGGCACTTCATAAAGGAAAAGCTAGACAGTGGATTGATTTGCACCCCATATGTATCAACCAAAGTCAACTTGCAGATGTGTTGACTAAAGGCCTCAACAGTGCGACATTTCAGGAAATTATTTCCAAGCTGGGAATGGAAAACACCTATTCACCAGCTTGAGGGGGAGTGTGGGAAAACATTTAGTTACAAGTGATTGTATTTTGTAATCTGCTGATTGTAATCTGTATATATCTGTATCTCCCTAAAATTGAGAATTTGTATCTCTAGAATTAAGGACAGAATATCAGGATAGACAATTCCTTGATTATAGGGATTAGATTTAGGAATATTTAGTTTCCTAGTTTACTCTCTAGCTAGCTGTATTTAAATCTATGGTGTTTGTATGATTCAAGACACAAGTTTTCAATATACTCTCATTTTTCCACATGTACAACTTTCACAAATATTTGTGGAGCCTTTGTGTTGAATTAAAAGTCCATAAAGTGTGGGAAAACACTTATTTACAGCTGGTTATAATATTATAATCTGTATATTTATATTTGTACCTCTAGAATTAAGTATTTGTATTCCTAGAATTAAGGATAGAAAATTAGGATAGACAATCCCTCAATTATAGGATTAGTTTTAGGAAAATTTAGTTTCCTAGTTTACCCACTAGTTAGTTGTATATAAACCTAAGGTGCTTGAATAATTCTTAATAAGCAGTTTTTCAATATACATTCAGTTTTACTCTTAGTTTTTCACAAAGTTTTATTACTTAGTTTTTCCACATGGTATTAAAGCTTTAGGCTCTTCTTAGCAATAAAATTTTTTTAGCTTTCATTGCTATATTCTATTTCAAGCCTTCATAGCCAAATCTTTTTAAATCTTTTAGTCTTATTTTTTCCTTCTTTGGCCTTCATTGCCCAAAATCGTCTTTGGTTAAACTTTTACTATCAAGACTCGTTTCAATCCTGAAAAAATAACTATGCCAAAGATTGCAAAATCTGCTACTACTATCCAATTTGAGGAAGTGACAACTGATAAAATCACCGAAATACTACAAAAGTCTCGTGAACAAAGAAAATTGAACAGAGAATAGATTGAGAAACTAAGAAACCTATTGAAAACTCTTGAAAAGCCTACTGGGGCATGCTCCTTAGGTAAGGCCTCTAGTTCAAGCAAAGCTTTAGTTCTCACTGATTAAATGTCCTGGTTAAGCCTATTACAAGTTCTTAGGTCATTAACTCAGGAGCCACTGACCATATGACGTATTCCTCATAGAAGTTTAGTACATATACTCTGTACCCTAGTAATAAGAAAATTGTTGTTGCAGATGGTTCATTTACTACAGTGATAGGATTAGGAGATGTTCAAATTAATCCCTCGTTTATTCTTAAAAATGTTCTTTATATTCATGGATTCTCTACTAATCTGATATCTATACAAAAACTTACCAAAGACATGAATTGCAAAGTGACTTTTTATCCTTCCTATTGTGAATTTTAGGACCAGAGTTTGGGGAAGAAGATTGGACTTGCTAAGGAAAAGGATGGACTATACTATCTTGAGACATCAAACAACACAAATAATATCAAGAATAGTTTAACTTTATCATTTCTTTCTGAAAAATCTCTTAATAAAAACAAAATCTGGCTTTATCATTTTCGTTTTGGACATCTTTCTTTTGGAACTTTGAAAAACATGTTTCCTTCTTTGTTCAAAGGATTAAATGCCAAAAATTTTCATTGTGATATTTGCGAACTTGCAAAGCATAGATGTGTCTTTTCTAGTTAGCAATAAAAAAAGTTCTACTCCTTTTTACTTGATTCATAGAGACACATGGGGTCCTCTATAATTCCTTATATTTCTAGTGCAAGGTGTTTGTTTCTTTCATAGATGATTGTACTAGGGTCTCTTAGATATTTTTACTTAAATCGAAAATGTGAATAGTGTATTTTTAAGCTTCCAAAACATTATCCAAAATCAATTTGAAGTGAAAATTAAGAGTTTTGGGTCTGATAATGCAAGAGACTATTTCAACCAGAGTTTATCTACTTATTTCCAAAAAGAAAGGATTATCCATGAGTCATCTTGTATTAATACTCCACAGCAGAATGGAGTGACAGAGAGGAAAAACAGTCATTTATTAGCCACAACACGAGCTTTACTTTTTCAAGCAAACGTACCAAAATCCTACTAGGGGAAGCTGTTCTCACTGCCACACAAATTATAACTAAGTTACCTTCAATGGTTTTGGGATTTAAAACTCCTATGGAACTACTCTCACAATTCTATCCCAACTTTAATACCACAAACAACCTCACACCTAGGATATTTGTTGTACATCATTTGTTCATGTTCACAGTCATAATAGGGGGAAGTTGGATCCTACAACAATTAAGTGCATTTTTGTGAGGTATTCATCAACTCAGAAAAGGTATAAGTGCTATCATCCTCTTACCAAAAAAATTATGTGTCTACAGATGTCACTTTTGAAGAAAGTAAACTATTTTTGACTCAACCTTATCTTCAAGGGAGATTTCATTCATGGAAAATAAGGATAAAGACTTCTTTTTGCTTGATTTGTCCTCCTTTTCAACATTTTCACCCATTAATTCTTCTGAGTCTAAACATGTTTGTTCTAAGTCCAAGTCAAACGCTAAATTTGAGTTTGAACCCATTCCAAACATAGAAGATGTGACAAAGGATAATATTGTTCTCGATTCTATGAAAAAATTACAAGTGTACTCAAGAAAAAAAATTACAAATCCTGAACCAGTGCAAGTCCAAAAACCTCATCCTAACTCTAAAAATGAGGTAAGTACAGCCTTTGACTCTGTTTCTCAAAATAAGCATGAATCTCTTAAAACTATAACTTGTGATTATGATCTACTTATTGCCATTAGGAAAGGAATTAGAGAATATACTAAGCATCCACTCCACCCAATCTCTAATTTTGTGTCATTTGAAAAATTCTCACCATTAAACAAAAATTTCCTTGTGAGCCTCAACACTATTTCAATTTCAACTACATTATCCAAGTCATTTCTAGTGAGAAATAGAGGCAAGCCATGAAAATAAAAATGGATGCCTTAGAGAAAAATAAAACATGGGAACTGGTAAAGTTGCCTATAGGAAAAAAGTCTAGTTGGGTATAAATGGGTTTTCACTGTAAAATACAAGGCGGATGGTACTGTTGAAAGGTCTAAAGCCAAGTTGGTGGCTAAGGGCTACACTCAAAACTTATGGGGTGGATTATCAGAAAACTTTTGCTTTAGTTGCCAAGATGAATACAGTTAGGATTTCGTTATCATTAGCTACAAATTACAATTGACAACTTTAAAAATTTGACATAAAGAATGCTTTTCTACATGGTAATTTGGAAGAAGAAATATATATGAAGGTTTCACCAGGATTTGGAGGTCATCTAGGAGCAAACAAAGTATGCAAGCTGAAACAAGCTTTATACGGCCTTAAACAGTCTCCTAGGGCTTGGTTTAGGATATTTGCCAAAGTGATGCTAGCAATGGGATATAAGTAAAGTCAAGAAAATCACACATTATTTATCAAGCACTCTAATTCAAAGAGAGTCAAAGTTTTATTAGTGTATGTTGATGATATAATTGTAACCAAAGATGATGAAAAAGAGAGAAAATATCTAAAACAGTGTTTGGCTAGAGAATTTAAGATAAAAGAACTAGAGAGATTGAAGTACTTCCTAGGAATTGAAGTAGCTCACTCACAGCATGGTATTTTCATCTCATAACAAAAATATGTGATGGATCTTTTGAAGGAAACTAAGAAACTCACATGTAAACTTGTAAATACTCTTATAAATCTTAATTATAAACTTCGAGAAGTTAATGAAGATGCTACTGTAGATAGAAAGATGTACCAGAGATTAGTTGGAAGACTCATTTATCTCTCACTTACTAGACCTAATATAGCATATGCTGTGAGTGTGATAAATCAATTTATGCATAGTCCTAAAGAAGTGCACCTATAGGCTATCTACTGTGCATTGCTCTATTTGAAGGCCAATCTTGGAAGAGGTATCTTATTCAAAAGAAATTTAGGGCTGGAGGCATATACAGATGCGAATTATGTAGGTTCAATAACTAATAGAAGATCCATCTCAGGCTACTACACTTTCATAGGTGGTAATCTTGTGAGTTGGAGGTGTAAAAAATATAATGTAATGGCAAGATCAAATGTGGAAGCAGAGTTCAAAGCAATGGCTCAAGGAATTTGTGAACTATTATGGTTAAAGATTATCCTAGAAGACTTGAAGATCAAGTGGGATGGACCAATGAGACTCTATTGTGATAACAGGTCTGCAATAAACATTGCACACAATCCCGTGCAACATGATAGAACAAAACACATTAAAGTGGACTGGCATTTCATAAAGAAGAAACTAGACAGTGGGTTGATTTGTACACCGTATGTATCAACCAAGGGTTAATTTACAGATGTGTTGACTAAAGGTCTCAACAATGCAACATTTCAAGAAATTATTTCCCAGCTGGGAATGGAAAACACCTATTCACCAGCTTGAGAGAAAGTGTGAAAAAACACTTATTTATAGTTGGTTTTATTATTGTAATCTGTATATTTATATTTGTATCTCTAGAATTAAGTATTTGTATCCCTAGAATTAAGGACAGAAAATTGGGATAAACAATCCCTCAGTTATGGGATCAGTTTTAAGAAGATTTAGTTTCCTAGTTTACCCACTAATTAGTTGTATATAAACCTAAGTTGCTTGAATAATTCTTAATGAGTAGTTTTTCAATATACATTTAGTTTTACTCTTAGTTTTCCACACAGTTTTATTTCTTAGTTTTTCCACATAAAGAAAATAGGAAAAAATTTCATTCTCTCTTTTCCTTGATCCCCAACCCACCATTCATTCCACCTTCTTTCTGATCCACCAAGGATAATCCAACCATCGAACCTCTTGAGTTCCTACACCATCATAAAACACCCCAAAATAGATAAATTCTTCTCTAAGCAACACCATTTTTTAGAAACTAGCCTTCCCTAACTTATCCATCTCCAATGACTTCATGACTTTCTAAACATTGATTAGTGTTCCCCATCAACTATAAATTCATCATCCAAGTAATTGTACTAAACAACCATGAATAGTATTATTTCTACCTTTAACCAAAATTAAGTTGTTAGTTAATTATCAACTTGACTCTATAGTTAAAAGTGACTTGGTGAAGCTTTTAGTGAACCCAATAAACTACTATCAGCTTGACCAAGTTTACCTCTAAAACTCAGTAGATCTGAATCAAGTCAAGCTTTAGTTTAGATTTACAACAAGGACAATCATTGTGGCATATATATTCACCACCATTAATCAAGATTTAATCAAGTAATCAGATTATCCACTTAACTTTTGCAAGATTGAAATTGGCAAAAACAATCTCTGCTTTGTATCATAGCTAACTTCAAACCACTTAGCACTCATGCTAGAAACCATGTATTAACTAAAAGAAAAATGGGTTTCCTTCTTAAATTAACTGAAACAAAAAAAAAAAAGGGAGGGAAAGCCTTAGAGACTGTGAAGAATAGAGAGCATACCATCCCCAACTATAGACTTCAGCACATGACAATGAATATGCAATTGTATGATCAGCTCCACAAGTAATAGATATTATGTCATGTCCATCTAAAGCACTCAATTGTGTAGGAGAAAGTCGATCCTCCGCATCCCCATGGCCTAACTGCCCATCCTCTCCTCGTCCCCAGGAGCAAACAATATTTCCAGCTGTAAATTGATCAAGAACAAGATTATGGGCTTACGTAGATTTATGCAAGTTAAATGAATTCATTAAGTACAATGAATAAATTCCAGAATCCAACCTTGAAATACATATCTAAAGACTCAAAAGACAGCAATTATGATAAATCTCAAAATAGAGAAGTAATAAGACAAGATATACTGAAAATTCTGTTTGTTTTAGTTAATGGAAGGAATAGAAATGAAGGAGCACTTAATTCTGTAAAGTTTAATTTAGTGAAGGATTAGTAGCTTACTATTGTGATTAAATTATTTATTCCTTAAGCTCTCAACAAATTGTCGGCATCATAGTACAACGGTCAAAGGGCTGTTGCTATACAGATGTAAATGAGACATCCTAACAACTGTTAAGACTAAGAATATCTTGGTTTACAGGGAAAGTTAAATTAATTTCTTGTAGCTGAATTTCCTACAAATATTCATTTCCATGAGCATAATAGGGGCCTTTGATGGATATGGCAGGCAGCAGCGCCAACAACAGGGAAATAAGGAATAGTGTTGCTTCAGAAACTCTTAAAGTTCCTGAACCATCTGAAACAAACTGTACATCCAATTTTTCCTATATACAAAAGTTAATCTAAAAAAATCGGTATTTTGCGTTTACCAAAAAACAAACATACACACACATACACATATTGGATCAGTTTATTCACAATGAAAACATGCTAGAAATAACTTAAGGCATTTAACAGTACAAGTTATATCCTAATTGATGTCTTAATAGGCCTAACTCAATGAGATATGACATGCAAATCCTGTTTTGAACTGGCAAGAAACCCTAGACCATGCTTCCAATTTCATTACATACTAAAAGTTATTATAACAGAAGCAACTTTTTCTTTTCTCGGATCCTATTCAAGATGTAATGCATTAATTTATTCACATGATAAAAATCAAACATGCCATTGATCACAAAAATTGTCCACTAACAGTGGACATCATATCATAATATGTCTCAATTGGCCCAAAAGTTAAGAGATAAGATAGACAGGTCACACCAGATGGAAATACGTCATAAGGTAATTCGATGTCATTTGAAAAATGTAAGATTACATGCATGAAACTACAAGCAGTCAACCAATCATAGCCAAAATGCAATAAGGAATGCTGCAAAACTAAAACAAACTAGGAAACAGCAAACCAGTACTGTGCACATAGAACTAATTCCAGAAAGAAACAACCGAAAAAAAACAATAAAGCATCAAATTGAATAATAATCAAATCAAAATAATGAAGTAACAGGCAATGCCAAAATCAGATCAAGATTCAAAACAAGCAAAATAAAATAAAAAAAAAGTGTTTATAAGATAAAAAGATCCTAAAGGCTTCTCCCAAGATGAGACATTTAATAAATCTTTAATAGATCAAAAGCATAAAAAGTGCAGAAGGATAACTTTCCAGCATACTGAACTGAGTTATAGAAACAAAAATCTTGAATGATATGCCATGTTTAGGCAAGATTTTGAATTTCAGTGAACTCAATAAGCAGAATATAAGCGTAAAGATGGGATATTTCCAATCAAGTCCGATCAGCTCAGTTGTCCAAGAAATAAGAAAAAAAAGGGTGGGAATAGAAATGAATCATACAGAGAAGAGCAACAGAATGACTAGCACCAGCAGAGATAAAAAGAATCTGACGAAATGGACCAGTGACCTCACTCACACTCACTTCCTCTTCTGCCATTCTATTTCTTCCCCCAAGTCCCAAAAAGGGTTGGATATTTTTGTGGTTATGCTAAAGCACAAGTGAAATAAAGATATTTCTGTGTCTTTTGAAGATGAAAAGGGAATACTAACTAATAAATAACAAGACTCAACAAATAAGAAAGGGAAAGAAAAGAAATAATGGTAAGCTTTGTTTGAATGAACGGGAAGTGTGAAAGTAATAAAGAGGGAAGAGGCAGGTTCTTTATACCTGACAGTGATAGGCCATTTGCATAATACATGCAAGAGAAAGAGAAATAGGAAAAGAAGAGCACGGCCAGTTCCATTTATTTCGAATTGAATTATTTAAAATAGATTAAATTAAATTAAATTAAATTATTTTTATTAATTAAATTAAATTAAATTTTTTAATTTATAAAATAAATTGATTCTATTTTTTTATTAATCAAACAGTAAAATATATTAAAATTAAATTATATTTTAAATTTTTTATATTCAAAATAAATTAAATAAATTATTTAATAAAATATTTGAATATCAAATATTAAATTAAAATTTTAATAATATATAAAATAAAATAACTTATTTTATATATTTTTAATTTTATATTTTTTTTTACATTTTGATTAATTTAATTCTATAATTAAATTAATAAAAATTAAACATTTTTAAAAATTAAATTTGATAATAAATTAAAATTAATTTGGAAATCAGTTAATTAATCAAATTAATTCAATGCAAAATTTGATTTTAATCTAATTATGAACACTGTTAAAAACAAACAAACAAGAAAAGGAAGAAACTTAGTCTCCACTCAATTAAACAAAACATGGATGGTTGGTAAGTGTAATAGTAAAGATTATTTATTTATAGAAACCAAATGTTAAAATGAAATCATGTCACAAACAATGGCATTGATTGCGGTGGGGAGCCATTTTCAACACCAAAAGTCTTTCAATGCTTTCCGAATTTCAATCTCCGCCGCACGAATTTATACGAATTATAATCTTATTTAATTTGATTTGACCATAAAAAATTAATTATTTGAATCCGTATAATTTAAAATTGAAAGCAATCTAAATCCAAATTTATTTGAATCCTAATCAATTTAGATCTGAATTGTTCTAATTTGGTTTGAAAATTAATTCTAAACTAAATTAAGTATAATTCTATTTAAAAAATATTAATTTAATAAAAATAATAAATATAATGCAAAAGATTAATTTATTTTAATTTCTTTTAAATTTGTTTCTTTACAATTGCAAAAGATTTCTATTATTATAATATAATAAAATTTAATTTTATCTTTATTATTATATATTATGAATAAGTTTTTTATTTTTCTGTTTTTACTTTGATAAAATAATTAAAGAAATCAACAATAAAATAAAGTTATTATAATTATATATAGATATAAACTGTCATGTAATTTAAAATAAGGTATATAAAATAAGTAATTGATTTGTGTATGTATAAGTTATGTTATAATTACATTATTAATTTTTTATAACGTAATTTTGAATAAATTATATAATGAGTTACAAATATAATAAAATCCAAATAATGACCTACCATTATACTAAAATTATTACTTATATTATAGTTATATTATTAGTATAAAAAATAATTGTATATTAAATGTGTATCATAATTAAATATTTAAAATAATTTTTATAGGTTTTATTAAATATGTAATTGGATATTATAATTAAAAGTTTAAAATAATTTTTATATATTTATATTACGTTAAAATAAGTATAAAATTGTTAGTCATGTTAAACGTGTCAAATGTATTTCTCATGTTTTATATGTGTACTTATATGAAACAATTTAATTAAACATATTTTTTGTATATTCTATGTGTTAAAATTTGTATTAATATGGCTAAATACAAAACAAATTTTTCTAAAATTCATATGATTTTTCCCCTATTATTTTTAGTGTCATGTTATCGTGTCATGTTTAAAATTATCAAATCTAATAAAATTACATATTTTTCATTTATATAAAAAATTAACTTTAATTTAAAGCATACAAATTATAATATTTTTATTTATTTTAAAATATTATTTTTTATTTTTATCTTTTAATAAAATTCTAATAAAATCTTATTCGAACTCAATCAAATAATCTGTTTAGATTTAATCTAATTTAATTCTAAAAATCAATAAATTGAACTTGAAATGATTTAAAAACTCCCTACCAAGATATAGACTCTTGAATTTCCAGCATATTGTGCGAGTGTGGAAGAAGAAGTTAATGGTTAGCCCTGGTATCATGATATCGTGTAATAAATTAAGCATAAAAAGTATCTTAGACATGCATCAAAAAATGATAAGAGGATTTTGAGAAGATTGGCAATGGAATTTATTCTCGATAGGGCAATCTTGTATAAGAATAGCCATGACTAAGTGTTGTTACGATGTGTGAATGTTGTAAAAACAAAGAAAGTACTTGAAAAAGTGCTTGAGAGAATATGTGGAACGCATGCAAACAACCACATGATGGTTAGACAAGAGATGATGGTAGGATACTATTGATTAATATTGGAGAGTGACCGTATCAACCATGTAAGAAGGTGTGATAAATGTTAGATTTATTCAGATAAAATCTATCTCTTCTTATACCACTACATGTTTTAGCTCATCCATGACCTTTTTTTTTTATGGGGAATGGATGTAATTGGATCTATTAGCTCGAAAGCTTTAAATGGATATCGATTCATTTTTGTGGTAATCATTATTTCATAAAAATTGTGGAAGCAACCTCTTGGGCTAGCATGACCCAATCAATTATTTGTGGATTCATAAAGAAAAAATAATTTGTTGATATGGGCTACTCAAGAAGATTATCTCCGACAATGCCAATAACTTGAACAATAAGATGATGAGAGAGGTGTGCACTCAATTTAAGATAAGCCACCATAATTCAGCACCTTATCGTCCAAAAATGAATGGAGCAGTAGAGGCTGCTAATAAAAACATCAATAAAATACTAGAGAAAATAACTCATACTTATAAAAACAAGCATGAGAAGTTACATTTGGTTTGTTTGCGTACAGAATATCAGTTAATACTTCCACCACGGCTATTCCTTTTCCATTGGTATATGGAATGGAGACTATTTTACTAGTTAAAGTGGAGATTCCTTCTTTAAGGGTCTTAATAGAAGTGCAACTAGGAGAAATAGAATGAGAGTCGTTATAAACAGTTGAATCTTATTGAAAAAAAAAAACTCGTAGTACTCAATCATGATTAGATGTATTAAAAAAGAAAGATAAGGGTACATGATAAAAAAGATAAAGCTTAGATGTTTTCATAAAGGAGAATTAGTTCTAAAAAGAATATTACCCAACCAACATGACAATAGAGGAAAGTGGACACCTAATTGGAAAGCTCTATATGTGATGTAAAAGGCATTCTCCAGTGAAATATTCATCTAGTAGAAATGTATGGAGACAAATTGCCAAACCCTATAAATTCATAAGCTATTAAGAAATACTTTGCGTAAAAAAAAATAAAAAGCGAAAACAAAACATAAAACACAAAAAAAAAGAAAAGAAAAAGAAAAAAAAAAGAGGATCCAAGTTGAAAAAAAAAACAATATAGGTCATAAGAGGAAATACTTAAATTGAAAACTTGAAAAAGCAATTTAGGTATAAGAAAGAATCGGTGAAATGAACAGGCCATGAACATAAAATAAAACAATATAGGGCAATAACATGTTTGATTTAATGGAAGCGAGAGATAGGTCATCAATTCGAATAAGGGGGCATAGTCACAGTTCAATGAGTCAACATTGATTAAAACTACTAACGAGATAGGATTTTTGAAAAAAATCAAGTGTAAATAATTTGGACCCTTTTTTATGTTTAGTATTTGAAATTTTGAAAATAAATTCCTTGATATCATCCCATTTGTTCAAGTCCTTCTTACACCAAATTGTATATTTCTTTTTCTTCTTCTTCAAAACAACTTATGAACCAAACTTATCCAAAATTGCAATGAATACCTTTTGTTCTCTTTGTTCAAATCTTTTTTATTCATCTCATGATTGAAAAAGATATTGCATTTGATATAATATTATTGGTAATGATTGATAATCCTTATAATAAAACTTGAATCATGCTTAAAGAAAGGTTTTAGGATAATAAAGGTAAAAAAACAAAGGTCAAAAAAATGAAAAAAAAAATGAATGATGATGATGATGAATGATAATTGATGAAAAATGATGAATGAAAGGATGAGAAAATGAATGGAAAATGGAAATAATGAATGATGAAAAAACTAAATAAATGACAAAAGTGATGAAAATTGAAGTGAATGAATAAAATGAAAAATGAAAAAGTGGATAAAAGGGTAAATGGAATAATGATGGGAAAATGATGAAAAATGAATGGATGAATAAATGAATGGAAAATAAATGAAGGAAAAAAAAGGGGAAAAAGTGCCTTTGGCAAAAATTAGCATACAATTATTGAAGAGGTTAAGGCAAAAAGAAGTGATAGAAAGAGGAAAAAGAAAAAATGTTTGATTATTGATAACTTATCCAGAACCAAGAGTTTAAACATAGTTATAATAATAAAAACCTTGTTACCATTATCTGTGCATGATGTGAACAAAATTGCTTGAATTACATGCATTGTGTCTTTTGAATTCATTACATATGTTGCATATAGAATGAGCTTAATTTTGGAAAAAAACAAATATTTCATAAGGAAAATGAATACTTTTCAAGAAAAACCCAAAGAGAAGAGACGATTTTAAGGAGAATAGACGGTTTTAAAGAAAAAAGACTTTTTTTAAAGGCTTTAAATGTAACCCAAACTTTTTAAGATTGGGATTTTTAAAGTCTTCTGGCCATTTTTTAGAGAGGCTTTCAAAATTAAGATTCTTAAAGTTTTCTTGCCTCTTTTTAGAATAGCTTTTAAAATTGAGATTTTTAAAAGTTCTTTAGCCTTTTTAGAGGAGTTTCAAAATTGAAATATTTAAAGTTTCCAAGACTCTTGTTCGAGGAGCTTTCAAAATTGAGATTTTGTAAAATTTTCTAACCTTTTTTTAAAATAGCTTTTCAAAATTAAGATTTTTAAAGTTACATAGCCCCTTTTTAGAGGATTTTTTTTTTAATTTAAGATTTTGGAAGTTTCATAACCTTTATTTAGAGAAGTTTCTCCAATTAAGATTACTTTTAGAAGTTCCAAAACTTTTATTTGGAAGAGTTCTTAAAAAATTCAAGATTTTAGAAGTTTTCAAAACCTTTTATGGCCAAAATAA